TCATTGTGCTTCTGGACGATGGCCTCGAGCGCCGCTTCGGTCTTCGGATGTCGTCGCGATGCAGTGAACGAGCTGATGAACTGGTTTTCAAGTTTCGCCACAAAGTGATTGACCCCGGGGCGAGACCCTTGTACCAGTCCATAGCTGCTTTCCTCAGGGTCGTGGGGAACAACCGGCATTTGATTGGTCCCCTGACATTGTGGTAGTGCAGCATGGCCTCGAACCCGTCTATATGGTCGATCGGGTCGGCGACGCTGTCATATTCTTTTAAGTGGGAAGGCTTCTCCATGCCCGGGGGAATGGACGCCTCCATGATAGCTTATGACAAGGGACCGCAGGGGTCGTCCTCGTCACTCTGTTCTGGGGAGTGGGACGGGGATCTGATGTATTGTCGGTCACGATGACCCTAGTCGTGCGGGACGTTCCTCGAGCAATGTAACCGTTGATAGATTCCTCTGCGTCTGTCCCCGGGAGGTCTTCGTTCTTTCCGTGAGGGGCCGTGGTCGAACCTTTCTACTTCGATGATTGGTTCTCTCTCCAAGCGGGGTCGCCGTCCAACTGGTCGAGGCGATGGTCTTCGAGAGAAGTCTCGTTCCTATCTCCGCGGGGGAGATCGGGTACGTTCCTCCGTTCTTCGAGGAGGAGGGGATTGAGGCCTCCTGTGTCTTCTAGAGGGCCTTCGGTCATCTTCAAGTGCTCTCAATCTTTCCCCCTGGGAAAAGATGAGATAGTTCGTCTGGTTAATTGCCGCGAACAGTTCCCTGGTCGTGGCGTCTGCCCCGACGGGGACAGGGACCTCATGGAATTGGACAGTTGGATCCTCTTCAAGCCGAGGAGGGACTGATGAAGATGAAGTCGTGGCCCCGTCCCGATAGTTAGAGGTCCCGGGGACGGTGCCTTCGGGGAGTATGTTATGGCCGGTGATGTCGGCGTTGTCGGGGCCGCCATTTTTTTTCGGTGATGTTGTTGTTAGCTTCAACGACGCGGACGTTCTGGTTGTCCTGATTCTGGTCAGCCATGACGGTCGAGGATGGTTTTAGCTTTGGTGTTTGTAAGTTTGTAAGACGGGGAATCTTAGTTTCCCACAGACGGCGCCACTGATCGTACCTAATCAGAGTTGGACCATCACAGCTGGTTTGAACTGGATTTGAAGGAGACGGGGGGTACCTGCAAGGCACTCTGATGACAAAATGAGAGATGAAATGAGCAGGCAAGTAGTGTATAGGTGTGTATGAAATGAATACTTGACCCTCTTGAAATAGAGGGTATTTATAGCCCCCAGCGCTGGACCAAGGTCCCTTTACTGGGCTGACCAAACATGCCCAACAAAGGGACTGCCATGTTCTACGTGGAGTAGTGGGGACCTGCACGTGGTCCCCTACCTGGATGATGCTCTCCGCAGAATAGGGAGGTGAAGGCGCGATCTTCCCGGGACCCTGAGGACTCCGAGATATTCAGAGAGGTTGAGAGTCTTCACTACGAGGAGTGTGCTCGAGCAGGACCTAGATTGAGATGTTCCTCGTCTGGGACGTCCCTCGTCGGGGACGCTCTTCGCGGTCACCGGCGGGCACAATTGTATTCGATGACACCCATGATCGGGGCGTGTCGGGGAGTCTTATACTCAGTATGGTATATTGTAAAACTTGGATTGGGCCTCGCTGATAATTGGGCCACGGGCAGGCCCAGTCCATAATAAAATACTAAATTATCATTTTTTTTTTCTTTATAAATATCAAAATATCATCTTTTCGAATAAAAAATAATATTTTAAAGTACATCTGCTAATTGATTGGACAGATCCTTTTATTTTATTTTATTTTATTTTATTTTATTTTTCTGCGAATTTTCTTAGAAAAAATGAATTCTTTGAAATTTCATGTGAATTGTTACAGATTTTTTTTCTATGAAATTTTCTGCGATTTTTTTTGCAGGTAATTTTATAAAAATTGTTATTTCACAAGAAATTTCATAGATAAAATCCGTAGAAAAATCAGCAAATACTAAATAAATAATTTTAAAAAATTACACATCTGTTAAATGAATGGGCAGAACCTTTTTATTTTATATTATTCTGCTCTTTGAATGGAGGGAGTCTCTTTGTCAATAACAAAAAAAAATTAGTACCATAATATATAGATATATATATTGATTAATTAAGTGTTAGTTTGATATTTCTTTTTTAAAAAGACGGTAGGACAATAAAAAAAAAATTTATACAGGAAGTCTTGGCAGAAAATTGTTCGGTTTACATAATCACTTGAAAATCTACTAGTAAGATGTCTGGTCCAATGTTTTTTTTCCATGTTTATCGAAGAACTTGAACATAAATTGTACGTCAAATGTTTTTTATTTTTTCATCGGACAACTTGTACCTAAGTTATCTGATCCAATGCATTTTTTATGTTGTTCATCGGACAACTTGTACTTAAGATGTCTAGTCTAATGGAGAAAAAAAACACTCAATGTCTAGTCTTATGTTTGAGTCATCTAGTGGTGGTTTTTTCTTTTTTTGCTAAATTGTTTGAAATTATTTGTTTTTGACTAGTGGTGCGTATTTGAGGATTTCATAGTAGGGTTATTCGACATGAAGGCCTAGGACGAGAGGTGATGAATGCACAACAAGAGTAGAAAGGTGCACACATGCAGCAGTCACATCATTTTTTAAGAGGGTCGTGTGACATGTCTCTGCTGGTATGGTACGAGTGTCATATTGGTCATTACTTATGGTATAGAAAAGTAAGTAATTTTTTTAATTAATTTGAATAGTCCTTAATTTTAATTATTATTTATATTTTAAATTGTTTTCAGAAACGAAGTTCGAAGAAAGAATATAAGATAGTCGCACATAAAAGTAAATTGTTAGAGTCGCACATAATAGTCCCACATGTGATACAAGGTTGGTTGAGTTTAAACAAGATTAAAGTCAACTTTGTATCATTATTTTCATAGAGATGGCGTCTATAAATATTTTCATTTCATATGTCATTTTGTGAAATGATAATTACTTTAGATGATGTTGTTTGCCTACTTCACCTTTCGATTATGGGTGATTTCTGAGATGTCTCATTGAGTATTGAGTATTAATGAAAAAAGTATTGTTACTCTTGTTGTAGAGTTATTATGAGTGGTTACTGAGGAGACCACACTAGAAACATATACTAGTAAGGGTCTAAATTACAAGCTAGAGTGGTTGTATATTTTATTTGAGTATCAATTCAATTATGTTGTTATAGCTTATATGTTGATATTGACCGGTTGCCTTATTTTTGCTGTGTATAGAAAAATAAGGCAACCTCTATTAAGGAATTGGTTATCATGCAGTAGATATAGTTCGAATCCAACTGATTTGATTACTCTATACAAATTTCTAAGAGTTGGGTTTATGTTCACCTACAGGCACCTCGGCAGATATGTTATTCTTCTACAAATTTTTATTTTTATTTATTTTTATTTATTTTTATTTATTTTTATTTACTTTTAATAATTTATGTATTTATTTTTTATTATTGATATTATTAATGTTTATTATTGGTTGTAGACTTCATGAGTGTTTTTGTACAGTTGGTAAGAGAGAAGAGAGTTTGATTACAATTATTATAAGATAGACATATAAGCAAGGAGTATTAAAAGTTGATGAGGTTAGGAGTGTGTTGGATGAGTTGATATGCTAATGTCATATAGTACCCATTTGAGAATCATAGACAGAAGCGACCATTTGATAATATATGTATGTATAGGGGTGTCGAGTGGCACTGTTTTTCCTTACTTTATATAACAAGTGTATACGTAACTTTGGATTTATACGGTATAACCGCCTCCACCTCATGACTATAACATACATGATGTTGAAGTTGAGAATTTATTACCATTCCAGCATACACGAGGTGGTTGGTAAGGCTGATGACTAGCACTCCATATGATGATGTTGTATACATAGAGTAGTATTATGGAGTTTCGCATCCTCGATTGATACCAACCCCTCAGGATATGCATTGATACCCCCCTCAGGATATGCAGGTTCTCGTGTCTATTCACGATGCAGGACCATCAGATCAAAGGCTATTGCAGATTACAAGCTAGCTTCATTGTTTTATCCAGCAAATATGTGTGGATGAAGAAGATCCTGAGTTTAGAGACTTATTTTGAGCATTATACTTACCAAACTAACCACCATATGGACGCTTAAAAAAACAACCATCTAGACTAACGGTTAACTAACATACAACCTTGAAACCTATGATATTTCCACTGAGATGCAAAATCTTTGGAATTGTGGTGCAAATTCAAGAATAAGGATGCAGACAATCTTTATGTTTTACTTTTACCCTGAGTTGCTCGTCAACTCAATCTCATGATCTCAAATTAACATGGATGCATTGCTCTTACACCACATGCTTCTTTCATAGCCTTGAATATCTTCGTTTCAAAATCATGCGCATTATACTCCATTTTCAAGTAATCAAATAGATAAATGTATTATTTCAGCAAGAGTTCATATTGCCTTGTCTTTCAGGATGTGCGAGAGAATTATGCACTGTCTCCTGTGAAATTATTAATCTAAAATAGTCAAAATTCTTTCACCGTTGGAAAAATAGGTTACAAGGAACCAACCAGAAACAATATACAACAAAATAAATTACATTACACTCTTTTACACAAGTCCAATGATGATCAAGAGGCTAGCAGAATACCATCTCTGACCTTTGGTAGCACAACCTAAGAAGTACATCTAACAGGTCAGTTCATCCATCATTCAACTATTTCAGCTCCATGCTAACTCTATCAACAATTGCTAAACTATCAAACTTATTATCCTTTTTCAATTATGAACATACTAACAAAACTCTGATTTATATTTCAGGAGGCGGGCTTGGCGAAGTGTACAACACTAGAATTGAAAATATATATCCTTTCTGTCAATTCTCATGTTGCTTAACTTAGATCTAACCATCCCATTTTGGGATGGCAAGTCGGTCACTATTAGAGTCGATTCTCTCTCTTCAAGAAGTAACATCTGATTCACTAGTCTGACTATCATTATGATCATTGCCAGATTCAGGTACAGATCGGTCAGAACTCTGTGCAGGAAGAAGCATCACTGAATGGCTTTGAACAGTTGTAGGTTCTTCCCGTTGGATTGTTTCACGATCACTATGTTCATCGTTTGAATGCATGTACGATAAACCAAACTTCTGTCCATGATTTAGTCCTGGGCAGAAACCCTGCAGAATTATAAACAAAATACTAAACAACAACAACAATCAAGTCTTACCCACTAAGTGAGGTATAACAAAATACTCAAAACATGAAAGATATGTTTTCAATTTAAATTACAAAATAAAAAATTCCCAAAATACGCAGAAATACATGTCTGATTTCTATAGAGCCATCTGTAACTTATTCTTATATGTGTACATCAGTTCATTATCAATTGGCAGTTATTCGTCAAATATGTTTTCCCCTGTCATACATCTGTGACCCCTCGTGTAGATTGAGAATTCATTGTTCTAATAAAAATCTCATTCCACTTAGTTTCTGATCCAGTTTTATCTTCTCAAATATGCATAAAAAGAAATACAAAATATTTGGTGGAAACCAAATTTTAATGAGATAACTACATCTCTAACCTTCCGGTGTAAATAAAGAAATAAGTGTACACAAATTTATCCATTTCAAAACCCACTGACATAAGATGAATAATGTGAAAAGCGGGAAATAGAAGGTCCAAGTGAATGTGAATCAGTGAGAGTGATGGAGGAAAGAGTACCGAGTACCTTGATCAAACCAGAAGAAGCACTTGCTTCAGAAGTAGTGTAGTCAGAGGAGTATGTAGATTTAGTCCAGCTCCCATAAAATCTACTATCATTTGATTTGTGCTTATCTTTCTCTGCCTCGGACACAAAATAAGTTTGTCTCAAATCACCACTTCTACAATAAGCCCCATAGTATAAACAATGTTCCCTCACAAGAGAGATTTGAGGAGTAGCAGGCAATAAATGACCTTCAGTGCTGAATACATACCTGTTTTTTACAACACAAACAGAAAAAGAAGCAACTAAATTTTTTAGTATAAAAAGACCAGCCACTAAATTGTAAAAATATAAGCCTACTCACTTGTATGGCCCATTTTCCACAAGGTTATCAGGACCCACGGCCAAATCAAAAAGGAGCCACAGATACTTCACCTAATAGGTAACATAGGTTATTAGCAAAAATCCTCTTTCAAACAAATAATAGAAGACAAAATATGAAAAGAAAGATGGAATGCTAGCGGTAATAAGAGGCATAATTTAAAAAGGAGAGAGAGCTCAAACAAAAAGAAGTTTATTGAAATTTATAAAACCATTCCTAACTTTAACTGAACTTAAGCTTTTATGAGAGCTGGACATTGTACTAAAGTCACAAGTAAAACCATAATATCCACCACAATTCTCGATGCTACTAGAAACACCAGTTGAAGACCTAAATAAAGATGAGTGACTGTACTTGACAACAATTTTCAGTGAAACAACTTGATAAAATTATGTTCTAAATTTTTGTTATGGGTTTCGAAAAGTTTAAGAGGGCACATGTTCTCAAAAACAAGTAGAATATATTCTTACTGTCTCGGCTAAAAAGAAGCTCTCCATATGATCTTCTTGTTTGTGATGTTCAACATCTGAAATGTGACAGTATCCACAAGGGCATCGAGTCCCATACTGTAAACTAGCTAGCATGTCCCTCCCAGCATCAAGATATCTACAAAGAAATGCATATGACAGAATTAAAATTCATATATATAGAGCACAACCTATGCCACAGCTATCAACAAATCATTTATAAAAGTTGATCATGAAAAGTAATCTCAGTTTCCTACTTTGCAGAAAAATAAAGGTATTGAGAAAGAGGAAAAAGAATAACACGGGACCGTGAAACAGAAGAGAAGAGTAGTTTGCATAGAACTACCTCTGATCCTAAATATAAGACCATCTTTGAATTTTTAATTGTATTAATTATTTCTTTACCAACATACCCCTATTTATTTTACATCATCTTTTGCAATTAACAGTAATTATATCATAGAAACCTAAACTAGCTCTCTCCCTTGAAGGACAAACTTGTAAAAACAATATCGTTTCTCTATAAGTTTAATACTACTCCCAACTTTCTTAATTCTCGTGATTCTTCTAAAGGGGTCCTATATTTAGGGACGGAGGTAGTAATATTCTAAAAAATATTTAAAAGAGGATGTGTTAAATCTCTTAAACCATGCTTGTGAAGATGGGTTCAAGGCTTTAAGCCACAAGGAAAATAAAGTAGACAATAAACAAGTCAAGAGAGAGAATCATTAGAGAGAACGCTTCTTTTGAAGTTGTAAGCACTCGGCTAGCCTTAGTTGTGTAATAAAGTGGGCTATATACAGTGTACATTTGTAGAACTATAAGAAGACATAAGCAAGAATTTTTTTATTAATGGTACAACAAGCTAAAAGCAAATATAAGCAGACCTAGGATCTCTGGTAGCTTTGTATAGCCAATATGTGCTCTCTATTAACTCAGGCCGCAGCGGGTAACTCTTTTGCCCATGCTGATATAATGAGAGAGAAAAAATATACAGAGATCATAAATATTAGAGAAGAAAAAGAAAAAATTTCCTCCTAAAAGAAATATACTTATCTATTGGGAAAAAATGCAATAGATTTGGCTAAATGAAAATGAAGGGCCATCAACTAAATGGCTGGTTTGTATGTTTAAATCTCCCACAGTCAATCTGTCATCAACCACTTGAATTACTCCAACATTAACACTGACAAGACAAACATGTTCAATCTAAACCAATAATGTTTTACTATTAACACTAGATAAGTCATATACCTCAAAGTGCTCTTTCTCTGATATTATGTTAAGATCTATCTTCAAAAAAGTAGGCTTCTTGTTCTTGTAGGCCCCTGGCTTCATGCCTATGGAACAATTTTCGGTAATCTCAGTAAGTTTTGGTATTGCCTTGTAATTAAGAAGTTTTGCACAATCTAAATGTTTTGCCAGCGGGTTGCCTTAGCTATATTTTGCTGCACTTGACTGGAGCCAGGGGCTCTCAACAAGGATGCCTTTTTTCCTTAAACTTGTTATGGGATAGAATTCGTTAAATGATTCTCTTTAGAGCTTTGGTACTTCCTTGTTATTAAGAAGTTTTGTACGGTTCAAGCTAAATGTTTTGCCAGTTTGTTGCCTTAGTCATATTTTGCAGCACTTGACTGGAGCCAGGTGATCTCAAAAGGATGCCTTTTTTTCCTTTAAACTTGTTATAGGATAGAATTTGTTAACTGATTCTCGTTAGTGTTCAGTTCACATGACTATAAGAATGTAGCCAGAGCCAATATAAATGCAGCCTTGTTACATTCTAAATTTTTCAACATATCTGTTTGAAGGAAATCTCATCGTCCCAATTGTTGTACCTTTTTATTACCTCTCTAGTGAGATTCTTTTTTCGATAAAAGAATTTATTTATCATATGAACAAAAAATTTGGGGAAAAGGGTAGTCTTGGTTCAACGGTAAGGTTGTTCCGTTGCGACCCAGCCTCTCTGTTATAAAAAATAGGGGTAAGGCTGCGTACGTCCGATCCCCCAGAGCCCATTAAATGAGAGCCTCGTGCACTAGGTTACCCCTTTATGAACAGAAATTTTGGGCTAGAAGTTTGTTGAAGAGGATGTTGTTCAAATTCGGGTGCAATTGATCACCAATTACTTTAAAACACTACAAATAGAAAGAAGGCTCAAACTATAATTAAACAAGCATTTTAACAGTCACATTGGTTATCAGGTGGCAAAACTAAATATACCTGAACACTTAGACTAGCAAGATTAAAGCCCTCGGGGGTAAAACCATATCTTCTCCAGACACTCAAGAAGGCAGCATGAGTACGAGTTGCCGGATTTATATCTCCAGCTAAAACCTTGCAAAAATGCTTGTTACAATTAGACTTCACTATGACTTAATTAATTATACAAATCAACTAAAAATATTATATTATATCAAAAATAAGAAAATAAAAACCTGAAGGCCAGGCCAAAACGCCTGCAGACTGTTAAATAATGGCCAGACAATAGCAGCGGAATCCATGTTAACTTCTACATACCTAAAAGCAAAAATCCAAGTTCAAGATTCAAACTTGAAATACATTAAAAGTAAATACTTTTTTGTTTCAAAGAACTTAGACAGCAAGTCAGGTATGTTTACAGGGTGGCACGCATTGCCACAAGCTTTTACCAAGGATCATGGTAAAGATAATGCATGGCAGCAGCATAAGCTTCTTGGAATATATACAAGTACTCTTCATCTCCAAATAATAGATAAGCCTGAAAGATCATGTATGGAAAACAAAATCGGACAATCTAAGGTAATATTAACTAACAAAATCTATAACTAAATGACTTGATCACTTGAGTAGATATGCCTGAAAGATCAATGTATGGAAAACAAAATCAGACAAACTAATGTAATACTAACTAACAAAGCCTATAACTATATGACTTAAGGATTTTTAACCACATGTTTTTTTCATGCAATAAAAAACATAAATCATACAACCAAAATAGATAGGGATGATAGTTGAGAAGCATAAATTACCAACAATAAGACTAAGTTCAAAGTTTGTAGGGGTAAAATGTAGTCTCTAGAGTATAAATTTAATTCTAAGAAAATCCTCAGCACCAAGTTCAGACAAGTAGAAGAACAGTAATGGGAAGAATATAATGTGAGTCAATTTTACTTGTTTAAATTTGGACACAGACAAACGATTTTTTAAAATGTTTTCATTAAAAAAACAATACTAATAAAGAAAGCACATTATCAAAAATGCATAATTTTTTTTCCTCCTAACTTAGATAAAACCAATGAAGCAAAAGAAGAGAAATGTACAAATAGGAAGAATGTCATGTGAAGTAAATTATATAGTAAAGCAGAAGAAAATACAACAAAAACACGTGCCTATTTGAATATAGACACAAACACAGCACATGAAAAATGCAAGAAAATTTCCTGAAAAATCATGGATATGTTCTGGTATACTAAATTAAATCTAGATAGTAGTTAGGAACGGTGGTTGTTTTGCAGATTAATAGAAATTGACCCTTCAGTACAAATTGCTCTATGGAGGCTTCATCATATAAAAATATTCCTGCTACTAACCTTCAATAAATACTCATAAAAAGAGTCAATACTAGTTCCTATCCCAGCATCCTGCAGAACGGCAAAGAGAGAGCTGTAGTTACTGATATTAACTAACATAGCTTGCAAGGTACACACGTAGATAAAACAGGAGTAGGAATAGAAGCACTATAATTGCTAAAGAAAGTAGGACATAGAATTCTGTAAATAATGCATGCTCCATTATTTTAAATATTAGTTCGCTAAAAATAATAGATGAAAAAATTGCTACAAAATAAAGAATACTTAATATAGTATATTTGTGTGTGTGCACGCGCCTTAAAACTCTTTATTTTGAAACTTTCCACAAATAAAATGCATTATGTACCTTTTGAGTCCATTCACCTGTAAAAACATTAATATGAGCCCCAACCAAATTAAGCTTTGAACGTTGTGCCCAAATTGCAAGCACGGCATTCTTGGTGACTTGTTCAAAAACTGCATGTTAAAAATTCACAAAGAAAGGGTATAAGTACCAAGACAGTGTAGCCACCCCACATTCCAAGAGAGGGAAGAACAGAAAGAAAAGTTAAAATGTAAAAACTAAAGTACATAGCAAAAGCTGCAAAAAAATTGTGGATAGACAAGACTGGTAACATTTAATTTAAGATGCTGAAGTATACGATTTAGATAATGTTAATCAGCCAAGCAATAAATAGGAATGTAAACCTGCAATTTCAATAATTAACACTTTCATGGGCCAGAGGGATAGGATGTTATCTACAAATGATAATAAAGGTGTGTTTTGACTTCAATAAAAAAAAGGAGGTGGATTTGGTATAAGATACAACAATAGAACAAAACACTCTACCGTAATTACAGTTTACTCGTTTGTTTTTGTTCTAGAAGTATGTGGTAAGAGAGATGGAACTCAATGAGAAATCAACAAGCGACAAACTCAAGGATTGAGTGGTAGCAACTAGCAACAAAAGGAAGGAAAGCAATTGTTAATTAACAAAAAAAACTACTAGAGGGAGAGATTTGGGACATATAAGAATGCCAACCTCATTTTGGAGGAGATGGCTCAGAACAATGGAATGTAAGAAAGTAGCTACTTTTTATTATAAGTGAATGTTAGTAAGTTAGTTGGTTATGTTAGTAAGTTTGTTGGTTATGTTAGTTTCCAAGAATCGAACCCTGAACCTCCTACTTAAAACTCATTTGGTGTCCCTTCGCTCACCAACCTGAACTACCTACTAGGGACAAGAAAATAGCGACGGGTGAAAAAGGGGGGATTTGGACATAAAGTAATGAACAATGAAAGGAATTAAGAGAAGGTTGAATTCAAGGCAAGTATTTCAAAGCATTGCACCTCTGCAAAAAGTACCAAAAACTATGAGAGTAGTAAGTATTGTATAACTAAGAAATATTGCACAGGAAGTTGGCCAAGCATGGTAGTCCATTTCGAGATTTTAAGGAGTCAAGATTGTAAATCACAAATCATAAGATCCTAAAAATTTTCATAAATAAGCATATAAAAATTGCATAAATGAGAAGAAAACTTTAAATTACTACAGATACTTATTAAACTTAAATTCAAGACCCATAAGTCCTACACAATTAATAAGTGAGAGTGTTAACAAGTACGAGGATATCGAAATTCAGTATACATATTCTAGATATATAATCTAGAGCATCTCAGGTTAAACTCATAATCTCCCATAGGATAGCAAATAATGCCAAGTAACGATGCCAGTCCAATGCATTCCTACTAGATTGCAATTCTACTTGTGACCGTGGGATAATCAGGGTAACCAAAGAGCATAAGATTGTATGATCATATGAGTCTGATCACAATTTTGACCACCTTGAGCAGATGAAAGCCAATGATTTTAATAAATTATATCAATCTTTAGGCCCCAAATTTAATTGTGTTCGAATGATCTAAATCTATTACAGATGTGGACTCCTTACATAATATATGCATACAAATAATCTAAATGTGAAATGGGAAACTTACTAGGATCATTTGTCAAACGGCTTAGAACACCAAATTCAAGAGTCAAGGTTCCACCACCAGCTGTTGAAGTTATCTAAGCAAAGAAGTACTAACTTTTTAATACAATATGAAACAAGAGATAAGTTTCCAATATAATAGTAGATGACATATAATGAGAAGAAAACTGCTTTCGGAAGAGTTACATGTTTCTCAAAACAAAAATAGTGGAGCAAAGATGAGTCTGAGCCATTTTCAGTGCTAAACTAAAATAAGCTATCCACTTGTTTCCCATGCATCATTTGACACTATTAGCCACTTTACCCGATCATTGCCTAGAAAACATAGACCTACATTTTCTAACATGAAGGAGAAAGCAGGTGAAGAGATTACCTTGCTTTCATGTTTATCAACTCCATGTAATAAATTTACAGACCCAAATGGAATTCCTGAAAATACAACATAGCATATAAATGTCAACATATGATTGCACTATGGAGGAGGTAAAACAACATTCTCTACCAAGCTATGCTGAAAACATTATCATTTTTGCACCAAACTCGGTAAATAACATGAAAGGTGGTTTCTATACATCTCTCCGCAGCTACTTTCCTGAGATTGTGTATGGTATGTAGAACACAAGTCTTGGTTTCATGTACAGCAAGAGGCTAATCAAGGTTAACCTATATCCCATTCGCGGTTGACTTTAGTGGTTGAATTAGATCATTTGAGTCCAATTCCTTCAAGAGTTGTAATAAGGATCTCGTCGAGGGTATTAGAGTTGGTTCAGATATTGTTAGTGTTCCACCTTTTGTTTGCTGAGAGATACTGCTCTTTTTTCAGAGAAAGATAGTGATCTTTTAGTTCTTTGAAGCTATTTCTTGTCTGATGAATAAAGAAGGCTTTTCAAAGGTCTAATGTTGATGAACAAAACAAGGAAATTGTTTCTTGTTAGTAAGGAGGGTGATCGCAGTTGTAGGTCAGGTGACAATAAAAATAATGAAGTCAATTTGGATGGCATGCAATTTATACAATTCTTTTGTGCATTTGGTTGAAGCAGTATGCATACTTAAGGGCATTCTTTTGCTATTAAATTTTATGAGATAGGGTTATTCATGTTTTTAAGTTTAACTTATACATTACGTTCTGGCCATGGCTGTTTCAAGGGGGTTTGAGGCGGCCTTCTTTAATTATTAAGTATATATTATCCTCCTTCTCACTATACATTCCTTCTTTTTCCTGATTATTAAAATTCTCATTTTAAAAAATTATGCCAAATTTCAGTTCTCAATGTAAACGTGATATATGAAGCACTAGGAGTTTCTTCATGTACACACTTTCATTCTTCACTTGTGTGTCAGAGTCAGAGCAAAATGCCATCAGAGTGAAAATTAAAAAGACAATATGTTTAGTTTAAAAAAGATGCAGATAAATGTTATGTCCCTTTGTCTTGGATCATGTTGACACAGTCCTAGACGCGGTAGAAGCTTTGCTTGGACCTATGGTGAAGGAAGAAGCGGACTCGTCCTTGACAGAGCCTCTTCTTAAATTCACAAATACTTTTTTGATAACAATTATTGATGATTTTTATTGATAATCTGAATGCCTTTAAATAGGCTTACAGTAGAATGAGAGTCCCTGATTAAATTAGGTCAATAACCACTTTTCCCTAAAATTACTATCATTTAAATTTAAATGATAACAATCCTAGTTAATAGATAGATTCTGTTTTAACCTAATTCTTATCCTAAAACTAATGAAATTCAAATTTGAAAATCCTAAATACTAACTTATTAAAAATAAATAAAATAATAAATCCTAATCAGCATAACTAATCCTAATCAGCATAACTAGAGGTCCATATCAATAAAATAATCCTTTATGGAACTGAGAGAGATGATTATGAGCAAAAAGATACTAAAAGATAAGCACAATTGTGTGTAGATCAAGTAATACCAGTAGGAGTATCAAATGCAGGTAACAACCTCCTGGCAAGATCTTCAGCCAAGTTCAGCAACTGATTATCATATGATGGAACTCTCATACCCTGCAGGACATTAGACGAGAAGAGAATTGTTTAGGACCTTATATGTCCGTGCAAGAAGATAATCTTATGTAAAAGATTCCAAATCAGTATATGCTTAAATAAGCACCCGAAATAGATGGAATGCTGGAGCAGAGGCCTGAAAAATAATGATCCTACCACGTAAAGGATGAGAACTAGAAAATGAAAGGAAAAAAAATGTTCCAATCAATTAAGCACTTTAAAAACCATCTTCCATAACACGTTCCAAAAGGACTCGGGCCATTGCAATTTTAAAACTTGTCAATCAGTAATAAGGGATGTACAAAGAAACCAAATTGATTTCAAAACCAATTATCCAAAAAGAACTTGAGAATGACAAGGAAAGCATTCATGAAGGAGCTATTATCCATGACCAAAAAAGTGAGAAGACAAAATCAACTCTCGAATTTATTAAAAATGGCAAATACATACGCACATTCAAAAGAAATTTTGATCCAAACATAAACCACTCTAAAGGCAAGCCAAATGCTGCAATTTAGGCAACTAAGGGCAGACTGCAATGAAGACGGAAATTTCAACACACCCCCTCATGCTCTGGCCTCAATGGACAATGCGGGAAGCCCAACAAGTGATCTAGGATAGGCATCTAGGATAGGCGCTAATACTATTTAGAATTTGGGTTGTGCCTAATTCATCCTTACAAAATCGGCTTGTAAGATGAGGTTTGTCCTCACTCATAAACACAATACAGGTCATATCTCTAAGCAATGTGGGACTAAATCCACCATTTCAAACCAAACACAAATAAAGGCAAGGCAAATTCCGCAATTTAGGCGACTAGGGGCAGACCGCAATGAAGGCGGAAATTCAAACAAGTACCATTCCATTACTATCAAAAACATTCTAATGCAAACAAAAAAAAAAACATTCTTAAACGAATCAATAATTATTGACCATAAAACAAAACCTAACATAATCAATTCAGTTGTAATATTATAAAATGATAAATAAAACTAATACCGTGGCATAATCAGAAGCAATTAAATGAGCTGAAATCAACCCTCCAAGAACCCTAATAGTAGTCTCAAAAACAGAAACCGTCTTATTCTGCAACCAACAAAAACACACAATAAACCATAAACCACAAGCAAATAAAAAAACACCTTAACAACGTTCCTTATATTTAACTATTAGAACAAGTTAGCCGACTCTACTCACTATCATATCAAAGCGAAGATTTTTACCAATCCATTCAACAGAAGCAGTAAACCGCTCCCGGTCACCAAGTAAAGCCAAAGTATCCAACGAATCAATCTGCATTATCATTCCAATCCCATTCCAATTCAAATTTCAATTTCAATTTCAATGATTGAATCATACAATATATATATTACAAAATCGAAATTACGAACCAAGGTTAATGCATAACCACCAAGTGTATCCTCTCCTGAACAAGATAGAGGCTTCAATTCATCGAGTGGAAAAGCGTTGTCCATGTAACCGTTAAAAGCGTGATAGAACATTTCACCGACTTCATTTCGGAGTTGTTTGGCTTCGTCTTTGGTGACGGAGTCGGCGAGGGATGCGGTGAGGTAAAAGGAAGAAATGCAAGCTAGTAATGGTATGATTGATGAACGGATCTGAATCCGCGAGTTCTTTGCACCTTTCATTGCATCAAAATTTCATAAATGATTTTCAATTCAACACTCTCTCGTCAATTTCTTGCTTTGTAGCTTGCTCTATTCGAGTTTAGACACGCATTCCATCCAATTATAATTCACTATTTTGATATGTCAGCTCTATTTTATTTATTTTTATTTTATTCAAGATTTGTATTTTTACTATTTTTTTATAAGATATTTTTATTAATTTTCTTGCCAATACTATCTATCTAATGAGAGGTAAATCTAAAAAGATACTTCGAAGTATGATAAAAGAAAAAAAATTATGGATAACAAACCATTGCCTCGTATCTATTTTTATTCTGACAGTTATTCGCTAATTCGTTACTAAAAATATTATTTAATCATGTTTAAATCGTCTCTTAATAATTACTTTAGATTCTGGCGCGACGAAATATTTAATAAAGAATCTTGACGCGATTGATTTAGATCTTAACATATTCGACATAAAAAAACCTATTATTTAAAAAAGAAAAAATGAAAAATTTGCAAGGATTTCAAATTTTATGATAGAGAGTGTGACTACAAGGTTTTAAGAAGAAAAGATTCATATTTTTATATGAATGAAACTTATATTTCTTCTTTGCTTTATGTATAACTTCTTAAACTCTTTTAACTATGATTAATTCTACTATGAGTAGATAAACTCCTCTCTGATTAAGTTTTTAGATAAACTTATTTTGAGTTGCTTGAACTACGTAATTTGTTAAGGACTAATCTATGAATTTGCATATTTGGTATTATGCTTAATGTTTTAATATATTGTTGAGTGTCAAAATTAATTTCAAGTTATGACTGATTATTGACCATAATTATTAAAACTCTACCCACCTTAGATGTTTAATAGATAATATCTCTAGAAATTATGTATTGTTATATCCCAAAATTTGTCCTCTCTTTTCTCAAGACATTTCTCACAAGATCTCCAAAAGCTCAAATTTGCATAAGTGTTGACTAGGTCAAACCATCTCCTAAACACTGATGCCTCAAATTAGGGTTTTGATTTCCACAAGAAAAATATGGACTTCTAATGCCTCAAATGACTTTTATGGATCATTATAGACCATCAGGAATACTCATGTCAAGTTTCAAGTCTTGAATCACAATGTTGCTCAATCAATTGACTAGATGACTGAACATCAATTATATTGGGTAAAAAGTCAAATGTGGTTAACCTACAGTCAAACTTCATGATTTTTGGTCAACATCAACATTTTAAAGTCATATTCATCATTTGATCAAGCATTGATCATAATCTCTCAAGAAAAGCACTCAATTTACCAAAAGGCCAAATTGGTCAAAATTAGGATTTTGACTGTAAATGACTTATCAGTTACTTTTGACCTAATACATGATCTAATATCTTGAAGCATAATCTTAAGGATTCAAATAAAATATTTTGACCTAATTTCATGGTTCAAAATATTCCTCAAGATCAATGGATTGATAGTTGAAATTTGATCAACTAATGAAAAGTTAAGTGATGCACAAAAAGTCAAACTTTGACTTTTTGGTCAAAGTTGAGCTTCAAAGATCACCATTCATCAAGACATTCAAAAATATGAAGCTTGATCAACAAGAAATCAAGAAAGTCAAAAGTCAATTTGAAAAGTCAAACTTTTCAAGACTTAGAAATTTTTCTAAGTGTTTTGTACATGATAATTTCATAACTTCATGATATTTTTTCATCAAGATGCAAGATGATTCAAAAAAAACTTTCAACATGAAAGTTGTAGATCTTGATGAGATATACAAATTTGCTTTACTGATCAAGTCCTAGAAGTTCTTGGATTTTGAGTTATAAATTCATAAAGTCGTGAACTTTTTCATAAAACACTTGGTGAAAATTTTGACAAGTTTAGGCAGATTTTTGACCTAACTTCTTGGCCAATTTTCACCAAACTCCAAGATGATTTTGTCAAAATGGAAAATGTGAAAGTTATAGAGGATGTTTCAAGCTTTCCAAAATGTCCAACAACTTGAAGAGATCATGCTTGAGCTAGAAGTTTCGAAGAGATGAAGATGGCCTCATAAACTTGAATTATAGGTCATTTTCTTGATGAACATTTGATTCAATCTTCAAGCATGTTGCATAATCTTGCTTTGAAGGCATTCTAACTTACAAATCACTCAATAATTTATTGTTTACACAACTGATAGATCCATTATCCAATTGATTCAAGCTTTGTCCAAGTTGGCTTGTCATTTAAGGAACAAAGGTCACACTTCCATTTTGGAAAAGCAAGCTTTATGCAAATTGTCAATGCATTGAGCCTTGTAACTTATATCTCTGATTGAAAGCAATATCAAAAGCATGAATCAAGTAGCCTACATCCAACAAACATCATACTATGCTTGTACTTAAACTTTGGAATCATAAAAATCCATTCAACTTGGTTTCTCATTTTCAACTAAACCATAACATGTAATATCTAATTTCTGGTTACTTCAAGCTTCCAAAACTTTTCCATATAAATAGAGGATGTTATTTACAAGCCAAACACGAATGAACAACCCCTGAAACTCTCTCAAACTCCCTCTAGCCAGAAATTGCACACAAAAACTCCATTTGTATATAGTTCTGCCCTTGAACTTGTATCTTCCATTTCCATCGTGTGTTTTCCCTCAAAATCATTTTCAAAGCTTCCATACATCAAATATATTTCATCCATGTCCATGTTCCACAACTGTAACTCCATCTTCATCACTTTCCAAACTTAAAAACAGCCACCTGCAACTTGACTTCTCCAAGACAATACAGCCACTCTCAATCAAAACTAAGCATTGCATTAGCTTCATGGAAGTCTATTAAAGTTATTTTGATCATCACAACACCTTGAAAGGTTCTCTAAATCAAAACACGAATTTCAATTTCAAGCTAAGTTTTCTTGACTTTGAACTCTTTCATACAAGCATCATTAGTGGTTCATTTGTGAAGATAAAATGTAGATAACATTTCCCTGAAGCTAACCATGTGCTTACTTTTCATTCTCATTAACCATGTATTGAGAATTTTAGAATTGAAAATCTAGAAAAGTTAGGTTTTATTTTGGGGTCAAACAAAATTCTCATTCAACTTTGATTAATAGTCCATGGAATTTATATGGTTGGAATCATGGTAAAAAATGGAGCAAGTTTCATGTTTATACTTTTGCAAATAGTTGAGAAATGAGTAAGATCATAGATTCAAAAATCTTGTCCATGGAAGCTGACGCGAGGAAGAAGAAGATGACACATTTAGGATTGAGTTTGTAATATATTTATTAGTTTGTGTATTAAACATCGGATGTATAGTCACCCCAGTGGTGGAGAGCGTGCACGTAAGGCTTAGAACTATAGTGACCCAGTGGTACCCTTTTATCTTTCACTTAATTTGTTCTTGCAGATTCAGTGTTAGCTAGCTTGAGGCGTGCACCATACACCTCACATCTACATCACATGATCATTCTACCATTAAATCCAGCGCTCCACATGAGCAAATCTATGATGCACCACTATAAGCCAGTAACATTGGATCCTAAAACAGACGCATGGGCCTCCATTAGTTTGGGCTTTCTTTTTTTGTTTTTACTTGCTAACACCCTCTTTATTGCTCAAAGCAACACAGACCCATTTCTATTTTTTTATTCATTATTTTTTGACTCAACAAAAATAGACTTGGGCCTAGAAACAAAAACCTTTTTCTTTCAAATCTCCCAATTCATTTTAAAACCCCCCTGACTTATAATTTATATTTTTATTTCCTTTTCTTTTATTTTATTTTAATATTATTATTATTATTTTTAATTAAAAATACAAAAATGATTTGATCTCTAGGATAGTAGGATAGTAATTGTAGTAATTATGCAAATCGCCAACTTTTATAGTTCTTTAATTTTTAATATCTTGCTTCTTAAAATGATTTGATCTCTATCTTCCAACATTTTATTTTGTCTATCAAATTTCATATTTTCATACTATGTTTACAAGAGTCTTTTTTACACTTTGTTAGTATATTGAAAATATCACTTTAGTTGTGTGGTTAATAGAGTTTAACCAACTCATTAAAGTTCTTGGTGGTTGAAACTATTTATATTTTTTTAATCAAAGAATAACTTTATTAAGATTCAAAAACAATTACAAACAAAGTGATCATAGGATCCAACTTAACAAAACAACCAAGAGAACCTATAACATACCACTAAGACATGAGTAAACTATCAATGTGATATCTAAGCTTGGGCTTGGCCCAACATTTATACATAATAGCATCTATGATTCTCTGGACAACTACATTCACATTAATTTTGTTACCAAAGCAAATCTTGTTTCTATACTTCCAACTTTTTATTTCTGCTTTGCACATAAATGTGTATTTGTTGTATAATTATAAATTTAGACTACCTTTTTCAATGTGTGTGTTGTGTTCTTTAATAGATCAATATGATTTGGTTAAAAAATGCGTACCTACTCTGCCTATAATATAGAGATTGTAACAATCATCCCTAAATTATAGGAACATTCACTCATGATTATCAGCGTAGGAGCTCAACTGACTAGTCCAAATAGTAGCAGTACTAGTTGCACTTTTCTGTAACTAATCTATGTATATATACATATGATATAACCTACCTTATGCAATGTAAAATCTAATTTATTTCATTAATTTATATGGTATCAATCGTTTTTTCTACTTAACAACATTATATCCAATTATACATCATGTCTTCCTCATCCACTAAAACAAACACTCACCTTGTTACTGACAAGAATCAAACTGTTGCCGCTCTAAACACTCAATATTCTATCAAATTGATTACTAACAACTATCATGATTGGCATGTATTGATGAATTCATTTCTTGTAGGACATGACCTCATGTTATAATCTCATTTATTGATCAAAGTTTGGTCATATTACTTGGAAATGCCAAGCGTTCCAAGCAACCTTGGGAAATTCTGAACAAAGTCTTTACAAGCAAGACAAGAACCATAATCATTCACCTGAAA